CCCGGTGCACTCCGGCGCTTGAGGTCTTGATCGGGAATTTTTTGGGTGACACGGCTGACATGTTAGACTCCCAGGCTCTTGCTGACCATGCGTCCTTGGTCAGGGCAGGTTTTTCCCGCAGCCTACCTCCTTTGCCTCCTCGTGGCACTCTTGCCCCTCCTCCCGACTCCGCGGGGGAGACTGAGGAGGAGTCTGCTAGCGATGATTCGGAGGACGACGTTATTGGGATACGGGTCGGACCTTCGACGCCTCCCCCCGACAACTCCGGTTTGTCACCTCGTCGACGTGCTTTCTTGTTTATGCATTTTTGTTTGAAGTGCTCATCGGTTTGTCTTGGTGTATAGGTATGGCTCCCCGTCGTGCTGCCCTCGCGTCACTCATGGAGAGTTTGAGGAACCGTGGTGGCGAGGACTCGAAGCGCGGCAAGACTGGCGAGACTAGCCATGCTTCCTCGGACGTCCGAGTTCCCTCAGGTTCCCGGGTATCACGCCGCCGCGAGGCGAGGTCCGCCCCTGATGCGGACCACCTGTCGGATGGTCGCCCGGCCGACCCCACCCCTTGAGCTCCGACGACCACGGTGCCGCCCCAGGGTGCCTTGACTGACTGGTCCGTCCACCTCCCGCCTTCAGCCTCGCTACTTGGCGGGGATATCCCCCCGGAGGCCCTTATGCGCAGCCTCTTCCTGCCACGTGACGTGGCCAAGCATGAGGACCGTGCCATCATCCGACCTTTGCTAGAGGTACGTTCCCTTTTTGATGATGCTATGTTTCCTTGCCTTTTGTTATCTTGTTTTCTACTTATGCTTGCCCTTGCGTAGACGGTTGTCCGTGCTCTGTCCATGGACCAGATTATGGGGAGCACCCGCGAGCAGCTGTAGACCGAGACGCGGGCTCGCCAGGTCGTGAGTGACAGACTTGCGGCGCTGGAGGATCAGCATGCCGAGTTGATTGCCAGCCGGTTGCGGGAGCGCAGGGCGCATCAGGAGGCCTTGAAGGAGGCCTCGAGGGTTGCTGTTTCAGGTTACGAGGGCTCTCAGGCCTTCGTCCAGGATACTCAGGCCTATATCTCTGCGCACCCACAGGAGACCTTGACTTATCTTTCGAGCTTCCCCACGGGGAACGAGTGTTTGGGTTTGCATGGGATGGAGTTGTTCGAGGCGGGAGAGTCCTCCAAGCAGAGCAAGATCTATGCCATCCTTCGCGCCAGAGACGCATCCTTTGACCCCGCTGCATGGGGCCTGCCCGAGGAGTTGGAGGAGGAGCCAGGTGATCCTGTGGACGTGGCTGTGGGTGGAGATGGCGAGCGTCCACCATTGGACTCGACGGCCGACCGCTCGTCGAGTGCGGACTTCGCAGCTGACCTTCTTCGCTTTGCCGGCGTGGATGCCCCCTAGGAGGAAACTCAAGCTGACTTGGGTGATGATGATGGTGCCCGTGAGGTGCCGCAGTCTTGATGTCCTTTCGTGTAGGCGGCCCCTTATCTTTATTTAGTTGCTTGCATAGACTATCTCTTTCGTTTTGTTTAGACTGGTGTTATCTCGTTGCTCAGGTTGTCGCCCTTATGCTTTTGTTTATTTTGTTGGCTCGAGACTTGTTGGCTTCACCATGACGTTGTTCGCTATGACATTATTCTTCTATTTCGTGTTACTTTGTCTGTTTTGCTTGCGCATTTAATCTTGATTGCTCCTCTTCACGACTTGTCTCGTTCCTTCCCCTGCGGGAGTAAGGAACTCTGGTGACGCGGGGGTTTAACTGGCCTGCCATCGTGGTGCCAACCGGCCCGCCATCGCACCTCTTGGGTGTTGGGGTTGCGTTACGCCCGTCAGGCGACAGGTGAGGCCAGGCCTCCTATCGCCCCTAGGACGTCTAGCGATTCTTGGGATGGAGTCCAATGACTCGCGTCCCGAATCCTTCCGTTCGGCGGTAGGCGAGGACGGACCTCGTACCACCCCTAGGGCGTTGAGGTTGCGTTGCGCCCGTTCGGCGACAGGTGAGGCCGGACCTCATATCGCCCCTAGGACGCCTTAGCGATTCTTGGGATGGAGTCCAATGACCCGCGTCCCGAATCCTTCCGTTCGGCGGTAGGTGGGGACGGGCCTCGTACCCCCTAGGGTGTTGAGGTTGCGTTGCGCCCGTTCGGCGACAGGTGAGGTCGGACCTCATATCGCCCCTAGGACGCCTTAGCGATTCTTGGGATAGAGTCCAGTGACCCGCGTCCCGAATCCTTCCGTTCGGTGGTAGGCGAGGTCGGACCTCGTGCCACCCCTAGGGCGTACGTTATGTCTGCTGGTAATTTTCTGCGCGGACCGTGGCCTCCTCCCTTCTGTCGTCGATGAGGTGGAGGTCGGCGGCGTGGTGTTCCTCATTGAGGTCGGGGTCGTATACTGCCACCCGATAGGATGGTATCGCAGCTTCCGTGGGAGCGCATGCTTCGAAACCGTATGCCAGCGCGAAAGGTGTCTCCCCGGTGGCCCTTCTTGGGGTGGTGCAGTATGCCCACAGGACGGTGTCCAGCTCCTCCACCCATGTTCCTCCGGCTGCGTCCAGGTTCTTTTTGATGCCATCAACTATAGTTCTGTTGGCGTTCTCCACCTGCCTGTTTGCCTGTGGGTATGCCACTGCCACACGGGTGTGTTTTATGTACCATTGGTCGCAGAATGCTTTAAATTCTTTGCTTTCAAACTGGCGCCCGTTGTCGGAGATGATTTGCATAGGGACCCCGAAGCGATACAAAATGTTCCTCCGTATGAACTCCGTGCACCGGGTGCTCGTGATGGTGGCGAGGGGCTCCGCTTCAACCCACTTTGTGAAATAGTCTATGGCAACTATTATGTACTTCCTCTTCGCGGACCCCATGGGTAGGGCCCCGACGATGTCGATCCCCCACCGTGAGAATGGGATTACTGTGCTGATAGGTGTGTAGCTAGTCGCTGGCCGTCCCGGCTCCGGGTGAAAGTGCTGGCAGGTCGGGCACCCCCGGGCGTACTCCGCGCATTCCTTGGCCATGTTTGGCCAAAAGTACCCCTGCAATAGGGCCCTCCTTGCCATGGCAAAGGCTCCTTGGTGTGCAGCGCAGGTGCCTTCATGTATCTCCTCTTTGACGGACTTGCCTTCGTCCGGGTATAGGCATCGGAGGAGGGCGCCATTGTAGGATCTTTTGTAAAGGGTGTCGTTAAGGAGGACATATGTTGGTGACCTCCTCTTGACCGCCTTGGCGGCCGCCTCGTCTGCCGGTAGGGTACCTGTTTTCTTATACTCAATGAGGTGGTCCAACCAGCATGGGGACCGTGTCTGTATGGGGAAGATGGGGTAGGCCTCCAGGCTGGACCTCTGGCAGTCCTCGATCCGTGCTATCTTGGAGAGATGCTCCGGGGTGCCAAGGCCGAGCTTGGAGAGCAAGTCCGCGTCCCCGTTTTGGCTTCGGGGTACCTGCAAAATTTCGTAGAGGGTCAGTTGACCGAGGACCCGGAGTACCACGTCGCGGTATCTCCTCATCCTCTCCTCGTTCGCCTCGAATTCGCCATTCACTTGTCCGACCACCAGTCGGGAGTCGCACCGCACCCTTAGTCTGGAGGCCCTCAGACCCACAGCTAGCCTGAGGCCACCCAGCAGCGCCTCGTATTCGGCCTCATTGTTGGACAACTTGAAGTGGAAGCGAAGAGCGTAGTAGGCCCGGAACCCTTCCGGGGTTACGAGTACCACCCCTCCGCCACACCCTTTGGGGCCGGACGAGCCATCCGTGGACAGGGTCCACCAATCTTCCTCGTCGCTCCAGGCTAGTTCGGCGGCCTCGCTGGCGGTGCACTCGACTATGAAGTCGGCGAGTGCCTGTCCCTTGATTGCGGGTCGGGGCTTAAACTAGACGTCATATTGGCTCAACCGCATGGACCATTTGACTAACCTGCTCGCCGACCCCGAAGCCCTTAGTACTGCCTCGAGGGGTTGGTTGGTGAGGACCCGTATGAGGTGTGCTTGGAAGTAATGCCCGAGTTTCTTGGTCGTGGCGTCCACGGCGAAGATCGCTTTTTCCGTGGGTGAGTACCTGAGCTCAGCGCCTCGAAGGGCTCTGCTCACGTAGTACACCGGGCGTTGGGTCCCCGCGTCGTCCCGGACCAGTACGGAGCTGATCGCGGCCTGCGAGATGCCCAAGTACAGATCAACACCTCCCCTTTCTCCGGCTTGGCCAGGGGGGGTAACGTCATGAGGTCCTCAAAGGCTTTCTGGCATTCGTCTGACCACTCGAACCCCTGGTTCTTCTTGAGGACCCCGAAAAATGGCAAGGCCCTCTCGGCTGACCTCGAGAGGAACCGGCCGAGGGTCGCCAGCCGACCATTGAGGCACTGGACCTCGCGGAGGGACCTCGGGGGTTCCATCTCCAGGATGGCCTTGACTTTTTCGGGGTTGGGTTCAATACCCCTCTTTGAGACCATGTACCCCATGAATTTCCCTCCTTGTATCCCAAAAGTGCATTTCTTGGGGTTTAAACGTAAATCAAAATGCCTCATAATGGAAAATACCTCATTCAAGTCGGCTATATGTAGGTCGGCTTTCGTGCTTTTCACAATCATATCGTCCACGTAGGCTTGCATGTTCCGGCCGAGGACCTTCTTGAACACCTTGGCCACCATCCTCGTGTACGTGGCTCCCGAATTTTTGAGCCCGAACGCCATGACCCGATAGCAAAAGACCCCTTCGGGGGTGGGGAATGCCGTCTTTTCTTCGTCATCCTCGTGCATGAAAATCTTGTGGTACCCTCGGAAGGCGTCCAGGAAGCTCATGAGCGCGCATCCCGCTGTTTCGTCCACCAGTTGGTCTATGTTGGGTAGTGGAAAGGGGTCCATGGGGCATGCCTTGTTGAGGTCCGTATAGTCCACACACATCCTCCACGTGGGCGGTTTGGGTGCGAGGACTACGTTCGCGAGCCATGCCGGGTACGTGACCTCCCTGATGTGCCCGATTTCAAGGAGGGTGTCGACCTCCTTCTTCACGAACTCCCGTCTATCAGCGCGAGGTAGTGCTTCCTTTGTTGGACAGGCTTGGCTTTGGGGTCCACCGCCAGTTTATGCGTGATGACCTCCCAGCTGAGGCCCGACATGTCTTCGGGACCCCAAGCGAACACGTCTTTATAGCTGCGGATACCTCGATAATCCGACCTCGGAGGTCGGCCGGGAGGCCTGTGCCAACCTTCACCATCCTATCAGGTCGACTGAGGTCCAGGATGACCTCTTCCGTCTCCACCACGGGTTCAGCGCGGGGTCGCTTCTCTTCTTCCCTGAGTGCCCTCTCGGTTACTGTGTGTACCTGGAGATCCTTCCTCGCTATTTGACGGCAGGCCTTCAAGTAGCAACTCCGGCTAATCTTCTGGTCCCCCCCCCCCCCCGCAGTGCCCACTCCGGTGGTAGTAGGGAATTTGAGACAAAGGTGCTCCATAGAGATGACGCACCTGAGGTCCTCCAAGGCAGGTCTGCCAAGGATGATGTTGTGGGCGCAGCTGATCTTTACCACCACGAACTCTATGTCCCATGTCTTGACGTGTGGCGGGGTGCCGATCTGCGCTTTAAGGATGACGGACCCTTCTGTTTCAATGGAGTCTCCGGTGAAGCCGGATAGCGGAGTCCGAACCTGGGAAAGCTGCTTCCTGGATAACCCGAGTTGCGTGAAGGTGTCATAATACATGACATTCACGGAGCTCCCTGTATCTACCAGTACCCGGTGGACGATGGTGTCATTAAGGTCCAAGCGGATTACCAATGCGTCCCGGTGGGGTAAGGGTCCATCCGGGAGGTCGTCGTCGGTGAACGTTATGGGCTCCCTGCGTGTCCTCTTCTCATGGGGTGCTCTGACGACCTCCCCAACGTATAGGCTCCGCGCCCACTTCTTCCTCTCAGCGGGTGTGTCCCCTCCCTCCGGGCCGCCGAAGATGACATGGATGACCTTCTTCTTTGGTGGGCTGTCTGGCTCGGTCTCCTCGTCCTCCGTGAGGTGGTCGAGCTCCCTCTTGCGTGGGGCAGAAGTAGAAGGCCCGGTGCCATCCTTCTTCTTTCGGGTGTTGTCAGGGCTTTTTGCGTGGTCCTGCCCGGACCTCTTCACGTATTGCCCCAGGTATCCCCGTTGAATGAGCTCCTCAATCTGCCTCTTGAGGACCATACATTCGTCGGTGTCGTGTCCACGTTGCCGATGGAAGCGGCAATACTTCTTCGGGTCGGCTTTGGGGGAGATCTTTAAGCATTCCTCGGGGAACGACACGATGCCCATGTCATCGGCATGGTCCAGGATTATGCTAACAGGCTGTGTCAACGGGGTCAAGTGTCGCAGCGGGGCTAGACGGGGACCCCGGTCACGTCGCGACCGGGGAGGGCGGCGATCCTCTTGAGGGTGAGATGCCCTGTCGCCCTGTCCGCGGCCTTCCTCCTCCTCTTTCTTCCTCTTCTCTGCTGCTTCCGCATTGGCGTATCGCGCGGCGCGGTCCATCAATTCTTCGTAGGTCTACGGCTCATTCCGAACAAGGTCGCTGTGGAAAGGACCTGACCTGAGGTTGTTGGTGAAAAACGGGATGGCGGACCTTTCATCAAAATTTGTTACCCCCATAGCTTCTTTCTTCCACTTACTCAGGTACTCCGCCAGAGATTCCGACTTGTCTTGCTTCAGGTAACATAGGTCCGCGAACTGCTTTCGCCGTTGTACGCTGCCCGCGAAGTGCGACATGAACTTCTTGGTCAGGACCGCAAAAGTGGGAATGGAGTCCCCCGGGAGGGACCCGAACCAATCCTGGGCCTGCCCATCCAGAGTTGTGCAAAATCCGCGAAGATGATTTCAAACTTGCGCCCGTTGTCGGAGATGATTTGCATAGGGACCCCGAAGCGATACAAAATGTTCCTCCGTATGAACCCCGTGCACCGGGTGCTCGTGATGGTGGCGAGGGGCTCCACTTCAACCCACTTTGTGAAATAGTCTATGGCAACTATTATGTACGGCATTTATGCCTGTCATCATCATGACCGCCTTGTACCTGTTGAGGTGGTCCCGCGGGTCCGTCGCCCCCGTGTAGGGTTTGATGGTCGGGAATCGGATGTCCCGGGGTAAAGGTTCGACCATGATGGCCTCCGTGAAGGGTGTGTCCAGGGACTCCGGGGTTCCGGGGACTCGTCGCGCGCCACCATCTTGCGCTGCAACTCGCGGATCTGTCGACGCAACTGTTCCATCTCTTCGCGCTGGGTGCTCGGGGGTTGGCCTCTAGTTTCCCCTGAGCGTTCCACGGGTGGGGCTGGCTCCCGCTGCCTCGGGACACGGGGTTCGTGGCTCCGGGATCTCCGCGAGCACGATGACTCCTCCTGCCTGACGTGTGTGGCCGACCCCGGCCCCAGGCGGTCTCGCGCCGGGTTCCCGGGGCGCCTGAGTGCTGGGGCCGCTGCGCACCCTCGGAGGGGGCGGAGATGGGGGCGCTGGGCCTCCCCGGCGCAGCCCTGCCGCGACGCGGTTGAGCGTGTTCGCCGCCTGTTCTAGTATGACGGCATCTTGTTGGGTGGTCGGGACCTGAGGTGGTGCGGGTGGCGCTACCCCGCCGAGAGGGCGATTGTTGGTGAGACGACTCCGAAGGTCCCCCACGGCCCCCTGCCGACTCCCGTTGATCTGATCCCGGAGGTCCTCCCCGGCCCCCACGGACATGGTCTGTCGGCTTGCCACGATCCCGTTGGGGCGGTTGACGAGGGCGAGGTCGCGTGGGTTACGCGAGCCTTACGAGTTGTGGGTGTTCGACCCGGATCGTGTCATTGTTGTCAATGAAGGATAATAGGGAGAGCGCTTAAGTTTGTATAGCAGCTCTCAACAAGAGCACCAATGATGGATTATATGAACCCGGTGGTCCGGATTATACAACCCGAATATATATTGAATACGAAGAATGGATAATAAAACGGTAAATATTGTATTAATTGGATATAAAATGCTATTACAGAGGTTCAGGACGTGTAATAACAAGACAAATGCTGTAGGAAAAGTACGAGATGCCTCATTAGGACACCGGGGGGTGTTTATATACCCTATGGCTACTACGGACCCTGGGCCCGCGGGAGGAGCCGCGGTCTGCGCCGCGGGACTCGCTCCACGCGAGGACCCGGCCACTGGCCGAGCCCAAGGGGCTCGGCCGAGCTCGGGGAGGTTGGCCCACGCCGACCCCCACTGGGCCGACCCCGGGGTGGTTCGTCCTGCTCCGGGGTCCGACCCGGTTTGTATCGCGTTGCTCCGCTCCGGCTCCGTGATTATTCCATCACTAATGTTTCAACACATATTATTGCCTTTCAGGTCCAAAAATAACGTAATGGAAGAATCTACTTTAATTGCCAAATCCAAAACCATACTCTCTGCTTGTTACCCACTACTAGGTTGGTGCCAATCAAATGATAGCTTTCAAACCGTTACCATGTACTTTAACTCTCAAGATCGAAAGCAAATTCAATATGTGTGTTGTATGTATTTTAAGTGTATTAATTATAATTTAGTATTATTTGCAGAGGTAAAGAGAGCAGAGAAATCTTACAAAGCATTATTGCATGGTTTTAGTCATTCTCATAATAATCTTGATGTTCTCAAGTTAATATTCAATGTCAATGATGATTATGAGGTGATATTTCATTCTTGTGGGATAATTATTTGAATTTTATTCTCTTAATAAATAAATATATTCAAACATAGATTGAGCATTTGATTTGGACATTACCAAGCATTTTTCTTTTATCTTCTTTCAAATACATACTGAACCAGTGAGTTAAACCTGTGTTGATATATATATATATATATATATTTTATCTTGCATGTTAAAGTGGACATGTGTAAAATGCATTCCCAGTATTATGTAAATCAAATATTGCTGATTTGACTAAGGAATCGTGCAAATGAAAGTCATCTTTAATTACGGAGTAATAATAACAATATTGTAAAGTAACGGGTCAACCTCAGTCAAGTTGATCATATTGTTAACTTGATAACCATAAGATTACAAGTTTGATCGTAGTAGGAGGGTTTTATTAGTCTTTTTAGTTTGAGTCGATCAGCTATGAGAAATCTAAGCTGGTTTAACTCTTTGTCGTCTTTTGTTGGTTAGAACCACAAGACAATGTTTATCTAATGTACACCCTCAAGTAATGCAAGCGGGTTTCTCTCATCACTTAAAAAAATAATGTAATGGAGCAATAGTAGGAATAGTGAACATGAAATGTTCTTCTACTCCATATTATATACTTCCTTACAAATAAAATAGAATTACACAGTAGAAAATTAATGTTGTTGTTATAAATATTAAAAAAAAAAAAACAATATTAGAACAAAATATTCTGGGGTAACCGAACAAAATTATAATTTTAGATATTTATAAACTTGCACTCATATAAATATAATAATACTTCTTAGCTTGATTCGGAAATTTATTATAGCATGCATACTGTTAGACAATTTCGGAAATTTATTATAATGAAGTTAACCTGATCTCTAAAATTATAATTTTAGATACGTCATGTTCCATTCAGTGAATTAAAAAACACGAGGGTGCTATTGATAATATTGTCAGACACAAATCTCTCTAAGGCTGCTTTTCTATATCATTACTTGTCCAAGTTCGAAATCAGTCCTTGGATTATTTTGATTCCAATAATAGATTATCCTCAACTTTGGACTGATGCAAGGATACCATCAGTACGAATAATTACCGGATTAAAGTTGTTGGATCCCTGCAAAAGGATTACGCCTCAATTCATTAGATTTGTGAAGGAGAGATGTGTTCCGAGTTTTCAGAGTGGTGGGGAACAGGGGCGGAGCCAGGATTGAATAGTGCGGGGGTCAATTACGGTTGAAATACTAAATCAAATACATTGATATCCCGTTAACATACTTCAAAATAATCATTACATTACAAATTTAATAAAGTTTAGAATAAATAATTTATAATTGAATCTATATATATTAAATTATTTTGTAATATGTTTTTTAATGCACATTGCTTTGTACGGTTGAAAAAATGAAAACATTCACGCATATTTTAAAAATACTGTTGATTATTTCTTGAAAACTACCATCTTCACAACATAACATAATAGCAATTGTTTTCTTAAATACATATACTACACAATTTTTACATTACTATGCATGTTAAATTAAATACACAATTTATCACGCAACCACAAATCTGCGTAATTAACCAAACAAATGCACCTTCATATCCATTATTTAGAATAAAACAAAAACACTATTTAAAATAAACAATAGAATATGAAATAAAAATTAACCAAACATGTAGTTAGAAACAAAAACAAAAACAAAAACAAAAAAAAAAACAAAAAAAACAAAAACAAAACAACAAAAAAAAAATAACCAAAAAACAGAAATTAACTTGAAAAATATGTTGGAAAAAGTGCTTGTAATCTGTAATATTACATGTGAGATACAACAAAATTACAGAAAAAATCAGGGAACAAAAAATGGATCATTTGATATCTTCAGGTGTGTAATCACTTTCCTATAAGCTTTAAAACTCCCTCTACAAAAGCAACAAGGTTCAAGATTTAATATTATAGGATACAAGAAGATGAATGAAATTTAAGTTGCTTTATTTAAGAATTTTCTGTAGAATTGTAGAACTGTGATATATCAAGATATGCAACAAGATAATGTTTGCATTTTTTTTTTTTTTCAGATGTTTCTCCCAAATATTTATAAATGCAAATATGACTGTTGGAGAAGTTTACAGAACTATATTCACAATTACATAAATGAATATTCACTCACTGTGTTGTTTTTAATAGTTTCAAAAAAAAAAAATCATTGGCTGCAGAAATGATGCCGCTAACAGCACCGTTATTTTTCACACGCGCAAACTGTGACGTTTTAGACCTAAGTATACCTTGCAAGGTGGACGCGGGTCCATGGCATAACGCTCCTTATTTCACTCGACAATTACGAAAAATTGGTTCATACTAATGCACTACACATGATCTTGACATGAAGAGATGATCTTGCATTCAGTAGGGTGTTTGTTCTTAGGGGATATAATATCTTCCTTTTATTAAAAACGGAGCTCACGAGAATGAGTTTGGGGGCTAATTCTGTGATTATTGATATTAAGGAGAGGATCGGATAAGCAATTTGGTTGGAGACATTAATAAAAAAAATTAATGATTCAAGAAATAACATTAACGAGAAGATAGATGATTCGGTACATACTTTGATCACGAATCCTTAGCAAGTTATAATTACAAGTCTATATATCAATTTAGAAAACAAATTTATTTATAAGTTTTACTTTATTTTATAACACCTTTCTTTTTTTCTTTAGGATTCTTCATATAATTACACAAGTAAAAAAGATCTTATGGTCAAGCAGTATGAAATGATTCTCCTAAATGAAAAGTTATGGGTTCGATTCTTAATTAATAGAGGCGATAATGACTCGTTAGGTTTCAATAGGTTGAGAAAGTATTTAT